AGAAAAGATAAAAAGGGAAGGCCATTCTGATTACTGGGGGATTAACCTGTGATGAAAAATATGTATGAATGTTTCCTGCTCCATGTTCAAAACAATATAAGGATTTTAGATTTCTAGTTAATATTCAAATTAATAGAGCTTGTATGCCCATAACACTTTCTGAAGTCTGAATTTTTCTTAGTCATTATTACTGGATTAGAAGAATTATATTTCTTTATTCTTAGTGAACTGAATTCAACCTTAAACATTTTTAGAATATCGTATCATCACTCTGTTGATGTCTTCACATAATCATAGTTCAGTCCTGGAAGTGAAATAAGACCATCTTCCCTGTGAAAGAGAAAACTCTCCTACCCCACCACAGTCTATATTTTGACGTAGTAAGACTCCCATATGCTATGTACACACAGACCCCTACCTCTATACCCCCATCCTCTGTTGATTCCTACTCATCTTTTAAGGATCCTAACAGTTTGTGTTAATCTCCTTCGTTGTGTCTTCTCAGACATCCTCCACCCTCCGTCCTATTTTGGTCATATCTCTGTGATGGCTCTGCTCAGAAGACTGTACCCAATTGTTTGTCTTTCCACTATCTTTTTTAGTTCCTTTAGAGCTGGAACCTGTTGCATTCATCTTTGTATCCACAGAGCTATCCTGTAGATATTTCATAATATAGGTGCTCAATTAATGCTTGTTGGCCTGAACTAGTTTAGCAGAATGGGAAGACTTAGGGTCATGGGTAAAGCTGTAAAGTAATATAGCATTTGTATAAACTATAGTGAAAAATCCCTCCCAAATTTATAGGCATATAGCTTTTGGAAATAGCATTAATATTGGAAAATTTCTCCTTCATATCTACTAGCAAGATATTAATGATGAGAAGTCTGCAAGTCACCTTAAATCTGAGCCAAAGGAGCCATTAAAGGATTCTGAATTCAGTTCTTTGAAAACCTGTAAGAGCTGTGAAGAAGATCCAAAGTGGTCCATCCCAGAGCCAAAGGATCTGAAGGAAGAAAATGAGGTAGGAGAAGGAAAGATAGTTTTGTGAATATGTAATTAATAAATTCATAAGTGAAGAGGACTGGAATAAAATAGTTCTTTAAACCTCACTATTTTCAGTATTACAAATTCTCTTTTCAACGATCACCAAGACCAAAGTTGTAGCAGGTAGCCGTGATCACAAAAAAGGCATTGTCTAGCTTTTTTTTTTTTTTTTTTTTTTTGAGACAGAATCTCACTCTGTTGCCTGGGCTAGAGTGCTGTGGCGTCAGCCTAGCTCACAGCAACCTCAAACTCCTGGACTCAAGCGATCCTCCTGCCTCAGCCTCCCGAGTAGCTGGGACTACAGGCATGCGCCACCATGCCCGGCTAATTTTTTCCATTTTTAGTTGTTTGGCCAAT